AACCTAGTAAATAATCTTGTGGTTTTTCTCATGCTGACACTACTTCTGGAAAAGTCCCTCTCATTTCGGTTTGATTATATGGAGAACAGGCCTGTTGAGTGACTCTCTTTGACTAGTTTAGGACTGCTCTGACAACGGACAGCCATGAGAGGATATTAACTGCTTCTTTCTTTGGATTGAAGTGCCTAGTTTAAATATTGGAACTCTTCTTTCTTCCGTTGGGCGTGTTTTCCTACTAACTCTTGTCAGCATCTAGGAATCAAGCTGAGTATTTTTGCCATCATTGGTGATAAAATTTTGCTCGGCAAATGCAGCTCTTATTTTTCCAATGTCCTTCGACTTTCGTTTTTTAACTTGGCAATTATTGTGGTTAGTGAAATTGACATGGATAAAACTTGTATTCCTTTAATAAATATATTGGTTTATCCTATGCAAAGAGGAGGATAATCTGTTTGACTTCTTCCCTGATGTCTTGGTTTTGTGGGCAATCAATTGTGATATGAGAAGAATCTATATCTGTTCAGAAAGAAGAAAAGGACAGACCTTCTAACCATACCACAGAGATGTGTTTGCTCATTTCAGGAGAACAATTTAAATTTCTCTGCTAATCTTAATATGTTAGCAGAAAGTGATAGTAGCTTCTTTCTTCTATTCTTTCTTCAACTGTCCCTTCAGCTGATAGGAAAAAAAAATACATATTTGTCAGAATAAAAAGATATAGGATATTAATGTACTTATATTCTGAAAGTATTTTGTGGGTTTGTGGTTTTTTTGTAACTTCTATCAGCTTATATGCCCAAATATTTATTTAATACACCTTGCTTGGAGCATAATCATTGTGCTATTAGAGCTGGATGCTTAGAGCCAGCAGATCTATTGAAAGCAAAGTTGCCAATTTTACAGACTTACTCTAAAGCATGATTCTTCCCTTACAAATAACATTTGAATACATCATGACTTGCTTATTAGACCTTTTTCAGCTCTCAAATGTGGCAGCTCTATTTTTGCCCTCTGTCTCTTCCTACAAATTGTTACACTACGTTGAAACATTAAATGAAAGCAGAAGAAAGCCAGAAAGCTATCATCTTTAGATGTTCTTGCTCAGTGATTTGGGTGCCTGAGAAAGGGGAAGTGCCAGTGTAGCTGTTTGGTGTTTCCACTCAAGTTAGACATGGGTGGCCTCCACCTCATGAGAAACTTGGAGAAGGCCTGACTT